CTGTGAGCAAGTTTTCTAACAGAGTTGAAGGGAGGGGGATGAGAGAGAGGCGCAGGGAGAGAGAGGAGGAGGCGGGGGCTGAAAAAAGTGGGCGTGAAGAGAAGGCGTGGGCGTGAATGCGTTACGTCAACATTGCTTGAATACAACGCCCACAGGACTTGTCACTTCCTCCTCCCTCACACCTCACTCCACTCCATGTAATTCTCATTCCCTTCCTTTATCCTCCCTCTCTCATCTCTCCATATTTCTTTGTCTCCTTTATCTTGGAACTTTCTTTTTTTTCTAATTTCTTATCCTACATTTTTTTTCTCGCATATCATATTTTCTTTTTCTTTCTCCTCTTCTTATCTCTTTCTTTCCTTCGTCTCTTCTTCTCGTGTTTTTTATTCCACATTTTTTTCTCAGTCTTATACCTCGTATTAATCTGTTTATTAAGGATAATCTCCATTTTTTTATTCGTTTACATTGTTTTCTTTATATCTATCATCGTTACTATTAGTATTAGTTTTCTTATTCATATTAATTTTTCTACTCTTTGTTGTTGTTTTTTAATTATTCTTGTTTACCCTTCGAATAAATTCTTTGTGTCTTGTTCTTTTTGTTTTGTCGATCTATCTTCGCACTTTCTTTAGCTTCTTCCATGTCTTGTTTCTTTTTATCTTGCATTTGTCTTGTTATCTTTCCCCAATTTATCTCCTGTACTTTGTATTTTGTTTTCTTATTCTGTCCTATTCCCGGATTTTATCGACTTATCCTCATATTGTCCTTTATCATATACCTATTTATTTACTTCTTATCTTTCATCTTTTCTTGTTTCCCTTTCTCTCACATCCTTTATCTTGCTGGAGGAAAGAGGGAGAGAGGAAGAAGAAATCCTCCCTCTCTCCTCTATTTCCTTCTTTCATCGTCTCCTTCTTCCCTCAGTATTTGTTGTATTCTCTTATCTTCCCCTTCTCCCTCACCTTCCTCTCTTATTATTCCTTTACTTCCTCATTCATTATCGTGTTCTCTTATTCTCTCTTCCTCCCCAACCTTGTTTTGTTATTCTTCTCCTTCTCCTTCTCCTTCATCCTTTATCGCGTCCTCATATCTTCCCTTTCTCCTCCCTTTGCCCTCTTATCCTTACCTTTCACTCACATCCTTTATCGCGTTTATTCATTCGTCCTTTCTCCCTCCATAAGAGTATAGAGTCTGCCTCCCGTGCAATCAAGTAGAGCGAGTGTCCGAGATGGTATAATTCGCACCTACACAAAAGGGCGAATAAGAAGTTGCCGGAGTTTCTCTCTTTTATTGACACGGAACTTGGTGGCTGGGCAGATGTGTTCCAAAATGAAGGAAGCGGAGGTCACTTGGTGGCTGGGCAGATGTGTTCCAAAATGAAGGAAGCGGAGGTCACTTGGTGGCTGGGCAGATGTGTTCCAAAATGAAGGAAGCGGAGGTCACTTGGTGGCTGGGCTGATGTGTTCCAAAATGAAGGAAGCGGAGGTCACTTGGTGGCTGGGCAGATGTGTTCCAAAATGAAGGAAGCGGAGGTCACTTGGTGGCTGGGCAAATGTGTTCCAAAATGAAGGAAGCGGAGGTCACTTGGCGGCTGGGCAAATGTGTTCCAAAATGAAGGAAGCGGAGGTCACTTGGTGGCTGGGCAGATGTGTTCTCGGGTATCTTTCGGTTGCTGCTGGAAACGATAACAGGTCGGTTTGGAATAACTACCAGAATGATGCAGAATGAAAAGGAATTCTGGAACAAGTGAGATAGATCTCGTTTATATATATCCTGCGTTTGGTCAAAAGACATTAGCAAGCGAGTGCCTCATGTGTTAGCCTTTGAGAATTTACGATGTAAATTGACAGAGGAGTAAAATGAACTAGGCTTATCAAGGGTACATGAAATAAAAATGACATTGAGTAGCGCTAAAATAATAGGGGTTATTTTTTTAGGATTATGCTCAGTACACAAACGAGAATTGCGCGTATGAGATACCATAGAAAGGGCAAGAGAAGCATTTCCTGTACATTGTGGCCCTGCTTTCTGACCGGCACTGCGAGGGAGAGGACCATGAGCCCCCCAAACTCATGTCCATCGCCCCTGTCCCTCACCCCTCCCCCCTTCTCCTCACCCCTCCCCCTCGTACTGTTCGCCAAGAGGGCAAAGCGTCCCTGAGAAAAAAAAAACATCCCTGACTGGCCCTCGTCGTCGCTTCAGCCCTTGTTATTACGCCGCCCCCCAGTTCGCCCGTCTGCTGGCCCTGTGTAATTAATTCGTGATTATATACAATTAATATCGGCCAAGTGAACGCTGCATTACCATGACTTTCGCGTTGATTTAGGTGAGTCAGGTGACCTTGCGATTTGCAGCGTGAGAATTATGTGCACATGTATATATATGTATATGTGTGTATATATATATATATACATATCTATGTGTGTGTGTGTTTGTGTGTGTGTGTGTGTGTGTGTGTATACATATATATACATATATATATATATATATATATATATATATATATATATATATATATATATATATATATGTATGTATGTGTGTGTATATATATATATATATATATATATATATATATATATATATATATATATATGTGTGTGTGTGTGTGTGTGTGTGTGTGTGTGTATATGAGTGTGTGTGTGTGTGTGTGTGTGTGTGTGTGTGTGTGTGTATATGAGTGTGTGTGTGTGTGTGTGTGTGTGTGTGTGTGTGTGTGTGTGTGTGTGTGTGTGTGTGTGTGTGTGTATGCATATATATATATATATATATATATATATATATATATATATATATATATATATATATATATATTTATATATATATATATATATATATATATATATATATATATATATATATATATATATATATACATACATATATATATATATATATATATATATATATATATATATATATATATATATATATATATATATATGTGTGTGTGTGTGTGTGTGTATACATATATATACATATGTATACATATATATATATATATATATATATATATATATATATATATATATATATATATATATATATGTGTGTGTGTGTGTGTGTGTGTGTGTGTGTATGTATTAGTTTGCGTGTGTGTGTGTTTGTATGTTCATGTGTACAGTATGTTCGCACACACACACAGAAGAGAGAAATATGTATGCAAATTTTTCCCACCTGAGATTAGATGGCGCGGCTGATGACGGCCGCCAAATTGGCTGCCGCAATTATTCCTTTATTTGTATATCGCCTAAAATATCGTTTTTTTTCTCAACTTGATCAGACCTTTTGCTTATTCCCTTTACGCTCTTTCCCTTGTTACCGCTGTCGGCAATTTTTTTTTTTTCGAGTGTTGTCGATAACAGAAATTCGGTTTTACGACTTTTCGAAAGGTAATTTTTTTTTTCCGGGTTTTTGTAATGTTTGTGGATGTTATGTACTTGTTTGTGTGTTTGTGAATTTGATCTTTCTCTTTTCTTTCCTTTCTTTCGTTCTTTTTACGTACGATTTTTTTTTTGTTTTTTGTTTTGAATAACATCTTCACGAATAGAAATTTCACACAACATTTGATTCTATTTTACTTCTCCTCTGCAAAAAAAAAAGAAAAAAAAAGAAATGTTGCACAAAGAACAAAGACCAAAGGCTATTTAGCTGGAAACCCAAGCATTGTAATAATGTTATCTGGCTTCCCATGCAAAATTTTCGCATTTTTGTCTTTGAACAGCACGTCTGATTGTGTCGGTTTGCCCTTTACTCTCGCCCTCTCTTTCTGTCTCGCTCTCTTCTCTCTATCTCTTCCTACCTCACTTTCTTTCTTTATCTGTCTATTTATTTATCTGTTTCTGTTTTCTTTACTTCTTCCTCTTCTGCTGCTGCTGCTGTTGCTGGTTCTTTTTCTTTCTCTTTCTATTCCTTCGCTTTCTCCTACTCCTTATCCTTCTCTTTCTTCTCCTATACATCGCTTTTTCCTTC